AATTATGTCAACCTATCTAAACCAGTAGCCTAATTTGTGCCAACAAAATATATGCATGCTGTTGTGTGCATAGCAAAGAGGCAATTACATCCACAGAATGGAATTTTCAGGACATGTGCAAGAGTTTTGAAAGTCTGACACATCCTATTATCAACATAGATCTCAGTGTTTCTGAGTGGTTAATGCTTGATTCTTCATGCTTATGACTGACTAAACCCTTGTCCTGGCATAAATATTAGTACCAGAGCAGCAGATTGAATCAATATGACATACTGATTCTTTTATCTCTCTGCACTCCTTCCTCCTTTCCCCATGGTTCTCTGCTTGTGTGTTTAGAGTACAGTGGATCAATTAAATTAAGATGTGAAATGCAGCAGTCCTTCATCATTTAACTGCTCTTCCTATGATTCCTCTTACCAATTTTGTTCCTTTCCATTTAGTTCCAGAAAGAACTACATAAAATCCATTAATGGGAGAGAGGGTATCTATCCTTCAGACTCACTCTTGCTAAGGAAATATGGAAAAATATGAATATTCTAACAAGTTAAAGGAAAGCCATTTTTGTACTAAGAGAATACTTTTCAGGGTGGAAGGTGTTGCAGAATCTATTAGCCCCTTTAAAAATGGTTACTAACCTTCCATAACTGTTTTTGAGATATGTTGTACATGCCCATTCCACTCTTGGGCTGTGTCTAGACTACATGACTTCGTCAACGGTTTATTTGGCATAGTCAAAGAAGCGGGGATTTAAATAATCCCTGCTTCATTAAAATAAACATGGCCACTACGCTGTGCCAACAATCAGCTGATCTGGCACAGTGTGGCAGTCTAGGCACGGCGCGGTCGACAAAGGCAGCCTTTGTCGACTGCTCCGGTAAACCTAGTTTCACGAGGCATATCAGAGCAGTCGACAAAGGCTTTCTTTGTCGACCACTCCGCGTCTAGACTGCCGCGCTGTGCTGGATCAGCTGATTATTGACACAGCGCGGTGGCCATGTTTATTTTAATGAAGCGGGGATTATTTAAATCCCTGCTTCTTTGACTATGCCGAATAAACTAATTTACATGGCTCCGTAGATGGAGCCATGTAGTCTAGACATAGTCTTGGTGTGTATGTGCCCCATGCAGAATTGTGGGAAATGTTTCCCACAGAGACAACCATCAGTGCAGCTTGAGTGCCCTCTGTTGTTGTGCATTATAGCATGACAGTTTAAAGGGCCTAGTCACTCCTAAGTCCCTAAGTTCCTTCTTGCTGGATAACTCTGATGCAGAGGGATAGGAGGGCAGATCATGGATGGTCATGAACAGCATATCTCAAAGAACAACCATGGAAAAATACAGTTACCTGTATGCTTAACTGGGTTCTTCGAGATGTGTTGCATATGATCATTCAACATAGGTGTATGTACTCACCACATACACCAGCAACTGAAGATGTTCTCTCTGCAGTATCTGTAGGGGACCAAGTCCGGCACCCACCAGAGTGGAGCACACATGTCATGCTTTATAGGGCATCCCGGGCCCTTCGCTCCTCAGTTCCTTTTTGCCGGAACGCCGACAGAGTGGAAGAAGGATGGTTGTTGAATGGACATGAGCAACACATCTTGAAGAATACCAGTTACGGAAACAGGTTACTGTCTTTTCTTCTTTGAGTGCTTGTTCATGTCAATTCAATATAGGTGACTGCAAGCAGCATCTGTGGAGGTGGGTAGGAATTTCAAGGACATGCAGACCGCAACATTGCTCTACCCAACACCACATCATCATCAACCATAGTATGTTGTGTTGTGGCAAAATGGGACATGAAAATGTGCATTTAAGTACATATTGCTGCACAGCAAGGCTACGTCTACACTGGCCCCTTTTCCGGAAGGGGCATGTAAATTTCAGCAGTCGTCGTAGGGAAATCCGCGGGGGATTTAAATATCCCCCGCGGCATTTAAATAAAAATGTCCGCCGCTTTTTTCCGGCTTTTAAAAAAGCCGGAAAAGAGCGTCTAGACTGGCCCCGATCCTCCGGAAAAAGCGCCCTTTTCCGGAGGGGAGGATCTTATTCCTACTTTCTACACTTATTCGAAGTAGGAATAAGACCCTCCGGAAAAGGGCACTTTTTCCGGAGGATCGGGGCCAGTGTAGACGCTCTTTTCCGGCTTTTTTAAAAGCCGGAAAAAAGCGGCGGACATTTTTATTTAAATGCTGCGGGGGATATTTAAATCCCCCGCGGATTTCCCTACGACGACTGCTGAAATTTACATGCCCCTTCCGGAAAAGGGGCCAGTGTAGACGTAGCCCAAATGTCTTGAATTGGGACATTAACTCAGAAGGTGGCTGAAGAGGCTTGGGTCCAGTAGAATGAGCCCTCATGGGTGACTGAACACCTGCTAATTCATAACATATGCAAATGCAGAATATGATCCACTTAGAGATCCTCTGTGAAGATACTGGAAGACCCTTCATCCGATCAGCAAAAGCCACAAAGAGCTGAGTGGATTTAGGGAAGGATTTTGTTCTGTCCATGTAGAATGAGAGTGTCCTCCTGATATCCAAGGAATGGAGACATGTTTCCCCATTGGTCTTATGAGACTTAGATTAGAAAATGGGAAGGAAGATATCCTGGCCTTTATAGAACCCTGACACTACCTTGGAGAGGAAGGCTGGGTGAGGGCTAAGCCGCACTTTATCCTTGAAGAAGACAGTGTATGAAGGCTCCAATGTTAATGCATTGCCACAAGAAAAAATATTTTTAGTGAAAGAAGTAGAAGGAGGCAGGCGGCTAGTGGCTCAAATGGAGGACTAATGAGCCTAGCCAGGACCAGATTAGGGTCCCACTGGGGAAGAGGATCCAGAGATTGAGGGCTTGTCTACACTGGCCCCTTTTCCGAAAGGGGCATGTTAATTTCAGAGGTCGTAATAGGGAAATCCGTGGGGGATTTAAATATCCCCCGCGGCATTTAAATAAAAATGTCCGCCGCTTTTTTCCGGCTTTTAGAAAAGCCGGAAAAGAGCGTCTACACTGGCCCCGATCCTCTGGAAAAAGCGCCCTTTTCCAGAGGATCTTATTCCTACTTTGAATAAGTAGTAGGAATAGTAGGAATAAGATCCTCCGGAAAAGGGCACTTTTTCCGGAGGATCGGGGCCAGTGTAGACGCTCTTTTCCGGCTTTTCTAAAAGCCGGAAAAAAGCGGCGGACATTTTTATTTAAATGCCGCGGGGGATATTTAAATCCCCCACGGATTTCCCTATTACGACCTCTGAAATTAACATGCCCCTTTCGGAAAAGGGGCCAGTGTAGACGTAGCCTGAGGGAAGAGTCTTTCCAGGCCCCTCAAAATGTGATGTCATTTGAGAAAACTGAATGACCTTGAACTGACAGATGTAAAGTGCAGAATGCAGCAAGATGCACTTTGATTGAAACTAGCTCAAGACCTGAGTGAAAATCAGGTCCACTTTGCAGTTTAAATAGATGGAATTGAGGGCTTCCTACTTTACAGAAGCACTTGTTGCACCTCTGCTGAACAGTTCTGCTCCTGTAGGTTCAAGCATGGAGTAACCATGCTGTGAGGTAGAGTGGCCATAGGTCTGGGTGGAGGAGGCAGCCATGATCCTTGGACAAGAGATCCTAGCAAAATGGCAACAGACAAGGGGTCTGCTGCAGAACACTTATGAGTGGGCTGAACCAGTGCTAGCGCAGCCATGCTGCTGCAATGAATATTACCATTGCAGCCTCCTACCTGATTTTCTGGAGGACCTTGCTGATCAATAGGAATGGGGGGAAGGCATACATAATACTGTCCATCCAATGGAGAAGAAAGACGTCCATGATGGAGCCTTCTTCTAAATACTGCCTGAAGCAGAACCTGGAGCATTGTGTTTTGCTGTGATGCAAAGACCACTCATGGTGAGATGAAAACACTCTGTTCAGGCAGTCTGATTATGTTCTGGGCTCCAGGGAGATGCTGTGTTTCCAATGAGATGCTGTGGAGAGCACAGGAGTCCAGAGTCAAACTGCTTCCTCACAGTATGGCGCAGTGTGGGCTCCTCCCTGTTTGTTGATGTAGAACATGGTGGCCATCTTGTCCATAATAACTTGAACCACACTGCATGACAGGTGAGGTAAGAATACTTTGCACATGTTTTGGACTGCCCTGAGACCCCTAATGTTTATGTGCAGGCTCCTCTCCTCCAGAGACCATTGTCCCCGTGTTCAGAGTGATCCACGGTAAATGCTTCATCCCTTGTCTTAGGCATCAGACACCAGCTCCCTCAAGTGTGGAAGCTGCTGAAAGGGAACATTGAACATGAGACTGTCCCACTCATTCCATCATTTCAGGATATCTAGGATGTGTGCCAGTACCCTGACCACCTGATTGAGTGAGTGTTGGGTTGAGGGGATACACTTACACTAGCAATAGTTGGAGCAGGCACATCCTGGACCTAGTGTAAGCAGGGACTGAACTACTGCTTGTTATCAGACAGCTAAAAGGAGGGAACTGCTCTGGGGGTGGGGGTGCTCACTCCAATTGTTTAGCACTGCAAGATAATTAACTGTTAATTGTTGATATGTAAATACAGTTAATGCCAGTGTGGAAGCAGGCTCTTTGCTGGCCAGGCCTCTCGCGCGTATTGCCATCCAAGCAAAAGGTCAACTTCCCCTTGATGAAAACCCTTACACTATGTAACTTAAAGGTCAGTGACGAACAGGAACCAAAACCAGACCTGAAAAGTTCATGTAAAGTTCATGCTAGTTGTGCTGACTGTGCCATGCCCGATAAGGCAGAAAAGGAAAAACAGGAAACCATCTCACCCCGTTTCCCCTGTCACTTAGCAGACAGGGACTGCTAGCCTATCACAAAAAGCGCGCAAAAGCTTTCTCTATAAAACAGCTTCCCCTCCTGTATCAAATTGAGGAATCCCGAATAAACATTGGATGGCAGAATACGAGCCAGGCCCAAGGACTGATCACCCGAAGGCCACCTCCCGCTCACTGAACCAAACGAGTTCCTGTAGAGCGTAACGTATACCAACTATGCTGTTGTACTTTGTGTTTTTTCTAAGTGTGAGTATTGCTATCTAAATTTAGTTAAAGTTTTGTTAAGTAGTATTGTTAAGAGTTTTAGATAAATAATTAGACTTATGAGTAAGATTGATGTAAACGTAACTGTTGATAATCCCTGGTCCCTTATTGACAACTATTGGGACTTAGAAAAAGCTCAGGGAATTTTCATTTATTGTATTGTACTTTGCTTATTGCTCCTACTAATAGTTATTTGGCGGCCACACATGTAAGAGACTAATAAAGAAAAACTATAATTAGAAGTATTCTAATCAAAGTTTAAAAGATATTTAGTAATAGTTTGCCTGTTTCTGCACCTCCCTAGGACTAGCCACATTTCCGAACCTTTTACTTTTAACCACAGCCAGGAGGGGGAAGGTGTGGTTATGTAAATCTAACTCAGCCAGGGCTGATGGAGGATCAGTGTTGGAAAGGAATGTGGTGTATTGTAAATAATTTGGGGCTGTTGTGGGGGTCACAAATCATGCTACCCCTAAATGTGGGAACTGTAAAACATGACACCAGTGTTTGCAGGAGAGACATCATCATTATAAGAGGTCTCCGAGGAACAAATCTCCCCCCTTCCAGAGTTGAGTGAACTCAGTTTGTGGGGAAGGGCCAAAGGGCTTGAATCAGCCTGCTTCATGCCTGCCAGGTGTAAGCTGTAACACTGGCCCAACCTGCCTCTTTCCCCCTTTTGTTTTAAGGACAGACCTGAAGCAGACTCCATGAGGAGTCTTTTTGTTGCTAGTCCAGTGGAAGCTGGAATCTTTTGCCAGTCTAGGTGATGGCTAAAGAATTGAAATCACTAAGTGCTAAAATAACTGGTTTGGCTGGGAGTGTGGGGGAGTGGCTCGGACCCATTGCAGCCAGCGGAGTGGCTGATGGGAATGACCAGTGGGTGGCCCAGCCGGCGGAGCAGCTGGTGGGAATGGCAGGCGGCTGGTAGGAGCGGCGGCGGGCGACCAGCAGAGCGGCCAGTGGAGTGGAACAAGACAGCTGTTGGAGCGTGGCGGAGTGGCTCGTGGTAAAGGCTGCAGCAGAACCATACGGAGAGGTGGCGCCGTTGGTCTCAGACCACGTAAGGTGCCCCTATCAACCCCTCTGCCCTCCCTTCCACCCAAGTTGGGAGGTAGAACCCTGCAGGTGAACTTTTGAACTCTGGGCGGCACTGACCAGGGACAGAGACTTTTGGGGTGTCGGACTCTGGGATGTTTTGGGCTGCTGGACTCCAGAGACTCTTGAGGTGTTGGACTTTGCTCATGGTTTGGGCTATGAACTCTGTTTTGGTATTTTCCCAAGTTAATGCCATGTGACTTCTCTCTCTGTTTCATTAAATGTTTCTTTTCTACACTCAGACTCTGTGCTTGCGAGTGGGGAAGCATTGCCTCTCAGAGGTGCTCATGGGTGTGTGAATTTCCCAGGCTACTGGTTGGGGGCTCGAGCCGGTTCTGTGTGAGATGGACTTCTAGATATAGAACCCAGCCCTGGTTGCTGCCGGGCCTACCCGGCACAAGGGTGACACTAGCAAGGCACATTATATAGGTGCTTACTGCCATTTGACTGAGGATGTGAAGGCAAACCCACATGTTGGTTAGAGGTATGAGGGATAGTTGTTGAATCAGGGCCAGTAAAGCATTGAACCTGTCTAAGGGAATGGATGCTCTGGCTGTAATGTATTTGAGTAACGCACCAATGAACTCGATCCTTTAACAATGACTTTTTGTCATTTACCAGGAGACAAAGCTGGCAGCACATGCTGAGAAGAAGGGCGACAGCCTTCTGAACCTTGACTTCAGTATGACCTTTGACCAATCAGTTGTCTAGGTAGAGATAGACCTGGATCCTCCAATGTCTCAGGTAAGCACTATCACTGACATACACTTTGTGAACACTCTCTCCAGGCTGCTCCCTACAGTAGAGCTTTGGATGCCCTTGGACGGAGTCTTGGTAAGAGTAGGGCCCTTTTGACTGGGGCAATTGGGGCTTAAACTTCTGCTCAGGCCCTGGTTTTTAGAGTTGTACAGGACTCTTTGAGCCCATGGAACTTTGTGTCCATTTGCTCAATAAATACAGCCACACGATCAAACAGGCAGTCCTCCGTTGAGTTCTGGGCCTCCGAAGACTGGCTGCACAGGAGCAGCCATACCACTTTCCACATCAAGACTGCTTTGAGATGGCTGGTACTGCTTGGCCAAAGACCAACCATCTCCTGGACTTCCTCCACCTGGAGATCCAGATTGGTTGCCACCCTCTTCAGAAAGTCCTGGTGGGCATTCATGTCATCAGTTGGGACCACAGGAGGAGGAACCACTATAGCCTCATTGGGTGATGAGGAAGATAAGGCTTGGGTCCAATGAAGCGGGCTGATCTCCCATTCCCTTCTCCAACTAGAGAGTAACTGTCCTAGCCATCTCTGGTGATTGTACACAGACATGCCAAAAAGGCTTCAGATGCTTTGGTTATTGACCAGGTCACCTGGGCTGAACCTGGAAACCCCATGGAGTCCTTGAGCACCACTGTGCTGGCTATTATGCTTGAAGCCAAAAGGTTCAATTTGCAGCACATTTGGAATGGTCCCAGGTATAGTGCCAAAGATTGCACCAGCGGGCAGTGAGGCAGAGTCTGATGTGGCACCTGTTGAGCAGAAAGTGGTTGAAGCCCAAGAATGGGAGCATGTGCTGTGCTCTCTCCAATACCGGAATCGGGTAATGAGGGTGATCTCGGTAATTGAGTGAAGGGCCTGGCAGCCTACAAAGCTATAGTGATCCCTTGATCTGCTCCTGGCTAGTGGTGACTGGTGTTGAGAAGATAATTGCTGGTGCCAGGATGTTGAGCAGAATTGTGAGAGCCATGCCACCATGCTTAGGGGAGCTCAGTGCTAGTAAGTATTTTGCAGCGAGGAGAGCAGTGCCACGGTGGCAGGGAATTATCCCTGGTGTTATGAGACTCATATGAGGAGCGATGTTCCCTATGGTGCCACTGTTGCCAAGGGATGCGTGCCTCCATAGATCTGCACCCTGACATCAGCGATGCTTAACACTCGGCGTCTAGCCCTAGTCTGTCTCTCTCTGACTGGGTGGGGCTACAAGGAGCTGTCCTGTATGACCAAATGAGAGAGCAGGAACATTGGGTGAACAGTTGTTCACCCAGGAAACGGTGGCTTTCCTGTTTGCTGAGGCCTGACTGATGCTGAAGGAGGCAGTATTTGCATGATCGAGATGTTCTATGCCACCTGAAAGGCCTCGGGAGCAGGGAGCAGGTAGGGCTCCTCTGGTTAGCCTATGCAGGGTCTTCTTCCATGGAGGGTCTTCTGTATGATCAGCCTTCTTGCCGTTGGCCTTGGGAGAAGCCCTTGCCCAACTTCTTTGTTCTCTTAGATCAGTGGTCCCCAACCGTTTGGGGTTGCCGGGTGCCAGGGGGCGTGGCCGTTCGCCCGTCGGGCGCCCGGGGGGGCGGGGGCGGGGCCCCCCCA